ATCGAATCCCACGGTATGGGACAATGTGTCAATGTTGTATGCCAAATATCAAGAGGCTGTGATAAGTAGTTGCTGAGAAAACTGTTACGAAAATTATCTAGCATTGACCATTAATGTCGAAAAATCTAACTAATTTAACTAAGTGGATAAACAGGAAGTGGATGAGCGACAGACCTGAAATCAAATCCCACGGTATGGGACCATGTGTCAATGCCGTATGCCAAATATCAAGAGGCTGTGATAAGTAGTTGCTGAGAAAACTGTTACGAAAATTTCCTCCCATTGACCAATAATGTTTAAAAATCTAACTAATTTAACTAAGTGGATAAACAGGAAGTGGATGAGAGACAGACCTGAAATCCAATCCCACAGTATGGGACCATGTGTCAATGCTGTAGGCCAAATATCAAGAGGCTTTGATAAGTAGTTGCTGAGAAAACCATTACGAAAATTTCCTACCATTGACCATTAATGTCGAAAAATCTAACTAATTTAACTAAGTGGATAAACAGGAAGTGGATGAGCGACAGACCTGAAATCGAATCCCACGGTATGGGACCATGTGTCAATGCTGTATGCCAAATATCAAGAGGCTGTGATAAGTAGTTGCTGAGAAAACTGTTACGAAAGTTTTTTTCCCCGCCCGCCCGCCGCCCGCCCGCCCGGACGCTCGACCGCCGCCCGACATTCACCATACTATAACCCGGGTTTGCACCAGTGCAACCCAGCCAAAAATAGAATATCGGGAAATGAATCATTCTCTTTACTAACTTGCATGTAGAGAGCGGACCGATAGATTAGATGTATTGAGGGGTTTCCTTAAGTTATTGTTTATGTATTTTATGGATGGCAAATTTCATTTTCCACCTAAATTTTTTTGATTTGACAATTATATGAAAATATTTATCTAAAAATAACATATTTCACTTTAAGAAAATCTTAAGGTCGCTTTAATATGTTAGATATATGAAATAATATATACTTAAATCCAATTAAAAAGCAAATAAATAAGATTTTATCACATACAAAATTGGCAACAGTCAGTCTTTAGTGTATTGTCAACTTCTGACATATATCCATCAAAGATTTTTCATTTCAAATTATCAATTCTAACAAATGACTATAAACTGAACTTGAACTTTTTACCAGAGTCATCTCCATTTTCCTCCTCACTTTTCTGTTTCTTGCCCTCGTATTTCACCGGTGTATCTAACCTATCTCTAACATCTGGTGTGACAAACACGTCTAGATCAGAGACTTTGTCTAACTGTTGAATAATTTTCTCGTTTATCACATCGGTCCATACATTACTGGAATGTAAACTACGGACGGTCCGGATTAGAGCCTCACACACCACTGTACTAGGTGGAGCACAGAGTGGCTCTCCAGGTAACAGGTCCTTGTGAACTGCCTGGATCTGCATGTCAGATATTTTAACCTGGTGATGGAAAGAAATGTATCACATGTTTTTGACATCAAATTTTACATCCTAATCTTTACATTATAACATATAGCAAAGAAAAACTGAAAAAAAAAAAAACGAGATTTCCATGACATCATTGATAACAAAATATAAAGTAGTATATTTTTTTTTAATGCTTGGTATTATGCCAACAAAACACAGGTCATATGGCAATTTTCTTGCTTTACTGGTGGAGGAAGGAGTCAGGTGTCTTTTTTTTATTTCAGGCAGGAATGGGAATCTTGTGTAGAACCACCATGGTCTGTAAGCTAGATGGACAGCTTCTTCACATGAAAGAATCCAAAGACTGTGTCAGGATTCAAACACACAGTGGTGAGGGGCAAGTGGGTTGAAGTCAACGACCTTAGCCACTTGGCTATGGACACCCTGCAGACCAAAAATTCATATACGGGTACTTTTAAATGACCAGCATACATTTATCTACAAACAAGTCATGCTACAGAGCTTAAGATGAAAACCCAAGTCACTACAATATGTGAGCTGTGACAATGAAACTTAAAATCTTTACTTATGTTGAAAATAAACACTAAAAAAACTTAACAAATACCAGTTGATTCTCCTCAATAAAGGTAAAATACCTAATGTCAAATAAAATAAAGAAAAAACACTGAATTTTGTAGGATTATATCCACAACTGTGCAAGACAGGTGGTTATAAGTCAGTAATACCAGTCACTCAGTTATTAATGAAGTAAGGTTATGGTTGCATTAGCACAGATTTCACTGTATAGTGGTGGACTTACCTTTTCGCCAGGGTTACTGCTGTAGAAAGTCACACAGGGGTACAGTTCTGTAGCATCAATATCTTCAAATGCCATTCTAGGTTCCTGTGAAAATAGCATTTTCTTATACAATTTTCAGATGTTCAATAACATATCCATACTTTATGAAAACAAATTCCTCATCTAACTAATACTTAACTAGAACTATCACTAAATGTGATTAATACCCCCGCAAGACAGCTTCGGAAATGAGGATGTTACTAGTAACAGAATACCTTGTAAAAGAATTGAAATAGAGTTATGGTTGTGGGCAAATAAAGATAGTTGTGGTTCTTGTATGTTGCATTTCCTTTCAATGTGGTTGGCCATTGATGAAATTTTATTGATTTACTCTGTAATAAGTCCAGAAAGACAAGGAAAAGGAACAAAGGGCAATAACTCTATAAATACTGAAGATGGAGTTATGGTTATTGTACACTGCACTTCCTCTCATTGTGCTTGACCATTGTATGAAGTTGTATTGAATTCCAACTACCAGTTTTCAAGTTATGCACTGGACAAAAAAGTAACAAAGGGCAATAACTGTAATTAGTCCAAATAGAGTTATGGTTCTTGTGCACTGCACTTCATCTCACTGCCCTTGATCATTGTATAAAGTTTCATTGAATTCCAACCATTAATTTTCAAGTTATGCACTGGACAATAAAAAGTAACAAAGGGCAAAAACTTTTAAATAAGTCAAGAAAAGAGTTATAGTTTCTGTGCACTGCACTTCCTCTCAATATACTTGACCATTGTATGAAATAGTATTGAATTCCAACTAGCAGTTTTCAAGTTATGCTCTGGACAAGAAAAAAGCAATGGAAAAGTAACAAAGGGCAATAACTCTATAATTACTCTGGACAGAGTTATAGTTCTTGTGCACTGCACTTCCTCCTATTGTGCTTGACCATTGTATGAAGTTGTTTTGAATTCCAAGCAGTATGTTTGAAGTTATGCTCGGGACAAGGATAAGTATCAAAGGGCAATAACTCTGTAATTTGTCAAAATGGAGTAATGGTTTTTGTGCACTGCACTACCTCTTAATGTGCTAGACAACTGTATGAAGTTGTATTGAATTCCAACAAGTAGTTTTCAAGTTATGATCCGGACTGGGAAAAGTAACAAAGGGCAATCACTCCGTAATAAGTCTGATAAAGTTATGATTCGTGTGCACTGCACTTCCTCTCAATGTGCTTAATTATTGTATGAAGTTATATTGAATTCCAACCATTAGTCTTCAAGTAATGCTCCGGACAAAAAAGCAATGGAAAAGTAACAAAGGGCAATAACTTTATAATTAGTCAAGATAGAGTTATGGTTCTTGTGCACTGCACTTCCCTTTATTATGCTTGACCATTGTATGATATTGTTTTGAATTCAAAACAGTAGTTTTCAAGTTATGCTCCGGACAAGGAAAAGTAACAAAGGGCAGTAACTCTGTAATTAGTCAAGATGGAGTTATAGTTCTTGTGCACTGCACTTCCTCTCAATGTGCTTGACCATTGTATGTAGTTATATTGAATTCCAACTATTAGTCTTTACGTAATGGTCCGGACAAAAGAAAGCAATGGAAAAGTAACAGAGGGCAATAACTCTGTAATTACTTTAGAGTTATGGTTCTTGTGCACTTCACTTCCCCTTATTGTGCTTGACAATTGTATGAAGTTGTTTTGAATTCAAAGTTATGCTCTGGACAAGGAAAAGTAACAAAAGGCAATAACTCTGTAATAAGTCAAGATGGAGTTATCGTTCTTGTGCACTGCACTTCCTCTCAATGTGCTTGACCACTGTATGAAGTTATATTGAATTCCAACCATTAGTCTTCAAGTTATGCTCCGGACAAGGAAAATGCAACGGACTGCTGGACCGACCGACCAACCGACTGACCACCGGGTGACTCCTATATACCCCCCAAACTACGTTTCGGGGGTATAACAATTACATACTTTAAAACTGTTTGTACTAGTCTGCATTGCCCTACTTATGTACCACTTGCAAAGGATTTATATTTGTACCACATGGAACAACTATACATGTACATTTTCTAATATTTTATTATCAAAATACATGACCATATTTCAACCTAATTCTTCACACTGCATGAAACATGGTTACCGTTTTGATAAAACAAACTCAATATTAATATCAGAATATTTACTCTTATCACTTGATTCAATTCTATCTTATGTATTTTATTCTTTTTATATTTATATCTCATTATCATCTACCAAACTTTCTTCCTACATTACCTCTCCATTTTTTCCAAAGGCCAAAGTTTTTGAATCCATATCTAGAACACAGGTTATATAATCTCCTTGAGTAAAGCCATGCAAGGTACGAAGTTGTTCACCATTATGATAAAGGTTACCGCTATATGCCCTATATAACCACATGTCTGATGTAGATCTATGACCATAGTCACGAACCGGAAGACGACACACTCCTACACATGTACCCTCGTTACTCTTGTTCTCTTTTACTATCTGAAACTGTTCAAAATACACAAATTATTCACAGGTCCTATTGTAGTAAGACTTTTATAAACCGAACAAAAAAGGTGCCAACATATTAAAACACTTTACAAAAACTTCTTCACAATTAATAACAGTAATAAACATCAAATTACAATATATTGTTCTTTTACATCAAGAATAAAACATGATGTAAACAGTTCTTTCCTTAATAAACAATATAAGTTATGATACACATTACTTTATATGAAATATTTCATATAGTTTATAAAACATATTACTACAAATGTGTCCATAGGACACAGATGCCCCCATAATAAGTCTATAGATGGACAGGGTGATAGACAGATAATGGCACATCTACATGCCCCTCTATGTGTAGGCACAAAAACCTTAAGGAAACAATGAAAGTAATTCACTTAACCTAAAAGGAGTTTGTAAATCATTTACTTGTAACTATCATAAAGAATGACTAACCTTCCAATGGTAACATCCCGATGTTATTGGAATAGATGCTATGCCATAACCTTTCCCTGATGTACTGTGTATCAGGGATTGTCCGGCCTCTATACTACTACACACACATTTTTCAGGGTCAAAGGTCACTTCAAGTTGAGTCATACAATCTTCATTAATTATTCTATCATCCTGTTTATTCACACCATCAACAGTATCATTCTCGCTAGTGTTATTATTTCCTCCCCTGTCCCCAACTGTTTGCTCCTCACTGGCGACACTTGAAAGGGAACCAGACAAACTTGTAGTCACATGACCTGAGGGATCAAGCCAGGTATCAACCTGGTCAGCTGATTTGCTGAGAAGTGGGCAACTCTCTGAATCTCCATTGCCTTCTATTTTCAGCTGCTCTAACTTAGACAAGAGAGATAACTCTTCCAGTCTAGCATCAGTGATTGCCTGCTTCATGGGAAGTTCCCACATGTTGTCTGAAAGGCAGCTAAATAAGTCTGATATTACCTGAATAATAAACAAGAAAACAATAGTTTGACATTAGTTTCTGCTACTTTTTTCAACAATTAAACCAATACCTCATGTCACTTTTAGCTAAATAAATATCAATCATTTTGATTGCATGAGTCTAAAATTAATGGTGTTCATATCAATACTTGGGTTTATATCAATACTTCGGTATGGATAAATAAATAACTAGAAGTTTCACCAAGAGATTGTCTGTATGTTACGTCAGTTTAATGCAAGGTTTGTGTAAAACCATCAATCTTTTATACTGAGTTTCATATGAACATTGTAATGATTCAAAGTAACAGCATCTTTCAGGTACATGAAAAATTTTACACTAGTAAAGTCCTAAAATAGAGGTATCTGTGGTGAAAAACACAACAAAGTATCAAAAGATAACTACAGAAATACAGTCAGAACTGTATAACTGCACCATCACCTAGGATAATATTGAATTCGAGAATCTGTATATAAGAACACAAACAATTCTTTATATTTAATCCTTATATTAACATTAAACCTGCTGAGTTTGTGTAATGGATATGCCCTGCTTTTTATTTAAAATTGTTTGTCCAAAGATTAAGAGACATCAGTATCAAAGTACACAAATTTAGCTATCAAAAGAATAGAGCCTGGATGGATGTGCAGACTCCCCTAGCTCTATACTGGTGGCAAAAGCAAATCATGTTTCAGCAGGTTAATGGTTAAGCAATTTAATCCTACCTGTTTAAAGAAATCCCCATCAATGCTAGTTTTACATGCCAGAAGGATACTTTCTAAAATAGATATGGCTGCCAGCTTTGTTCTTAAACTCTGACCTAAAATGATGAATGAACATTGTAAGAAATGAAGCCCAAATGACAAGAATATCTAATTTTCTTTAAAATCAAAGCACTGCAAGCACTGAGGTATACATTGCTTGACATCAAGACCATGTGATTTTAATCTACTGAACTCAATAGAAGTCATCTTCTGGTTACAATCAATTTCGAACACAAATCTAGGCTTATTTCTTCTCAAGTTATTAATAGGACAGGAAAGAGGTGTTGTTCCTACAGACTAGTGCTGTGTTTTTTCAAGGCAAGACTATATGGTTTGCGAAATTGAAGAGCAATACAGAAATCAGTTTGCAAAGACCGGTTTATTATCTGCAGTATACAATGCTGAAATAGTAAAATAGAGTCTTCAGTGTTTTTATCTATTACTTTAAAAACAAGACCAACATGTGGGTTTGTAGTCTACAAAAATGTGGTATTGAATCATTCAGCAAGACTTAAAAGTTAGGTGAACATTTTTGTTTACATGCAAAACGCATTCACTGGAAAAAATGCACTCCATAGTGCAATTATTGATTCAAAATAAAAGCATTTGTACTTGACAAAATTTAGGCATCAAAGCCCTAAGCTCTAGCCTCGTACATTCTTAAATTTTTACTACAAGTACATTACGAAAATTAATGACTCCCCCCACCCCCAACCCTCCCACAAGGCAAATTTTATCCCAGGGCTAAAATTAAAACAATCTTGGTAGAGGTCGACTACACAATGCTTCATGCCAAATATCTTACCTCTAGTCTTTGTCAATTCAGAGGGGAACACTGTTTAAGTCTTTTTTCTATACATGTATATACATTTAAGGAAATCCTAAGACACCATGGTGCCTGTTAAACCTTGTACCTTCAGACAAGATTTTTTTTAAAGTTTTTTACTATATACATACCATATAATGAAAACCCAAAAAGACTCCTTGGCAGAGCCATTTTGACCCCAGGGCTATAATTTGAACAATAGTGATAGAGGTTTATTACACACGTAAAGGTTTCATGACAAATATCAAACATCTAGCCTTTGTCAATCCAGAGGAGAATATTTTTTAAGTTTTTTTTCTATACATGTTTATACATGTAAGGAAAACCTATGACACCCTGGTGCTATTTCACTAGGGGCAACATTTGAACAACTTTGGTAAAGGACGTACTTATGATATTATTTACCAAGTATCTAAGCTCTAAGCCTTAAACCTTCTGATAAAAAGATTTTTAAAAAAGTTTTTGCTATATACATATAAGGAAAACCTTAATATATGACCCCAGGGGTGAGGCTAATTTTGACCCTTGGGCTGTAACGTGAATAATCTTGGTAGAGGTTAACTACCAAATGTTTCATGACAAATATCTAACCTCTAGTCTTTGTCTTTGAGAAGATTTTAAGTTTTAACTACATACATATCAGGAAAATCTATGAACCCTAGTGCAGGGCTAATTTGACACCCAGGGTATAATGTGAAAATCTTGTGAATGTCTACCAGACAATGCCTTTTGCAAAATATCTATGCTCTAGGCCTCATTTAAGTCTTTGAACAACTTTGGAAGCCCTTTACTCATGGAACAACCCTGTCAAGTTTGGTTGAAATTGGACAAGATGTTTTCAAAAGATGTTAACTATATAATGTATAAAACACACACACATGCACGCATGCATGCACACACACACACACACAAAAAAGGGGAATCGCTATATGCCAACACAGCATCTACATGCATCAGACCAGCAGTCCAACACATTTTCAAAAAATAAAATGACAATTACATTGTTGATGTGTTGAAAGCCTTGTGAAATTTAATAAAATTAAGCTTTATAATATCTAGAATAAACTTTCATTTTTTCATTCCTAACTGTAAACAAACAATATGAGGTATGGTACATGTTATGGTCAACCAAGTGGATCTCATTGGAGCTAGGTGGAGAGGAGTGTGGGAATCCAAAGATTAGTAAATCATGTTTGCTTACTGAGTTCATCAGAAAGTATTTAAGCACTAAGTTGAAATTTATATGGCATAATGCACTTTATGTGTGTTAATATGCTATATATCAAAATTAAATACTCTGTATCTTTTTTTTGTTAACTATAAACTTAAAGAATTAATAAATTTCTTTTATATAATCTATGAATTCAGTTTATAGTATCTTTTTTGGTTTGACTTTTATCACAGTCTGTGCTTTTTTGTGATATCATACTATTGTTTCCAGCACCTTTACTCCAAGTAAGCAAATGAAGTAATTGAAGACCAGGAACTTAGGAACTTCCTTTCTGAGTGGGGGATCTGAACATCACTGTCTGTCCTGTCCACCATGTCTCGATATCGGATTTGTCAATGTCTTGGTACAGACCACCCTGTCTCATGGTCTGCAAGGTCCTGCATGTATGGCCAGCTTGGACTGTTTAATGTCACCGAGGAGAACTCCATATAGTTTTTTGACAATCAATAAATATTTTACAATCCAATAGGAAAAAAAAAATTCATGTAGTATCTTTTTTAGCTAAATCCTTTCAAGCTATCATCATCGTGTACAATAAAACTTACTGGTAAGGAGTTAATTAAGGGCTTCTCCCCCAATACAAAAAAGGTCAAATTAAGAAGTAGTACTGTTACAATGCCTTATCAAAAATAAAGTCACATGCATATATAGACAATAACTAAATATTTAACAATATTGATTTAATACAAATAAATCATTAATATATGCAGTCCAGCCAATAATGAGCTGAAAATATTTATCAATATCAAAGAGTGAGAAAATGAAATGCAGCCTGACTAAAACTCAAACCAGAGACACTCAGAATACCATACCTCAGAACTACCAAAAAACCCAGAACCCTTGGAATACCATACAGCAGCTCTACAGCTTAAATATTTTCAGTCTCATAGTTCTATGCATTGACATAATCCACAGCATATTGAAATTTTTCCTTTTTCATTGGCACACTTAAGTAACAAAGTGAATTGACTTATGACTCAGTTATGAACCATCATAAACATATATTGAACCCTAAAAGTAACAGGGTGAAAATATCACAGGGTGAGAAATATGTGCAGTTTGACCGGAAGCAAACCTGAATCAGAATATTATACATGTATGTGGGCTGTACTGACTCACTCAGCTGAGCTATCTAGCTGCTGGCAATGTCAATAATCTATTACACATGGGCATAGAAGTCAAAGAAATATTCATTGATAATGACCCATTATTTAAAGTAAATCATATTAGAAACATCCCTTGAAAATGATATTTTTTCATTTTTGACCCACAGTTATTACCACTACCTCCTAATGGGCCTAAGTAAACTGAGCCTGCAGAATTTTATAATTTTGCTGTCTGTCAGACATGGCAATTTCTTATGGGTTTCATCTTTATCTCCATTTGAAGGGATGTAACTCATGTTTACTAAAAAGTTTGTTCTTATCTGTCTATCTTAGCCATTACAGACTATTCTAGATGTATATAAACATAAAAAATATTTTATATTAACAAACAAAACATAATAAGATGAAAAATTTACCAGTTGGACAAATTCATCAAATGGATGGAGGTCCAGGAATGATGAATATGGATAGAAATATTTTTTTTGACTGGCTTTATGTACCTTATAGTTATCATTGTGGCAAGGAATTTTATAATTATTCAGTTAAACCTGGTTTTTCAGTTAAGATTTCATCATAAAAAGATCTTCAGGACTCTAAATAAATTCATATTTGTGGTATCAGGGGAAATTAAATTACTATTTGTGCTAAATCTGATCATAAACATCAATCTAAATATTTAGAATATACCTGTGTTGAGTATCATATTTCACTCTTCACTTTGGTTATCCCAGGTCAACCCTCTTTTTTACTACTGGCTTTAATTTAACTGCCCATGCAATCATAAGCTCTTATAATAAATGATATATGGCTAATAATTTTACCTTATATATATATATCAATAGTCTAAGGAGTTATGTAAAAAAATGTTAAGGGTGGCCTGACTGAGTGATTGGATTGTAAATAACATATTTCAAAATATATTTCTGGACTCAACATGCTTTCTGTTTCAAAACTCTGTAAAAAAACTGTCAAATGATGAATAATTATCTGGATTTGTTACCCAAAATCTGTGATTCTAGCACTTCATTTTTTCTAGGATTGCAATAGCTTTCTATTTTGTCAAATAATTTTTTCACTTTCAGTTTATGTTCTGCATTTGCCCATGTAAATTGATAACTTTAGGTCCAGCACACAGGCGCTAGTCACATAATCAAATATTTTACATAATCGGTCTATATATATCTTTATATACATATATAGACCGATTATGTAAAATATTTGATTATGTTACTAGCGCCTGTGGTCCAGCATAGTGTAATAGGATATTTACTTGTATCTTTTCATCTTTCTCAGCATTTCCAATGGCAGTCAACACTGGTAAAGTAAATTTCCATTGGCGCTTCCATTTGATAAAGTTATGTGATATGTTACCATTTCAACATCTAAATGTCCAGGGGGTCTAAACATATCTGCCATGATTGTCAGTTCGAATAATACCGATTACGAAGGCTAAATTCGAATAATATTGAGTACAAATCCTTAGTTCGAATAATATTGAGTACGAATCTTCCCCTTCCCGAAAATGGCTTTTGGACGATATATTTCACTAAAGTGGCAGAAATACTTCACACTGCAGGTGTGAAACAAATAATTGCATACTCCTCCGATGCCACCACGTTGATAGGGTTCTATTATATGCAATTATATGACAATTCGTCAGAACGTTAACTTTAATCCATTCATACAGACGCTTACAATGTTACATAACACTAAATAAGACATATATATCTGTATATGCTCGTTTTCTAAAACAGTTTGAAATAGAAAAAGTATGCAAGTCTATATTTAAAAGTAAATAAGGTTTATTAAACAGATTTAATATTAATTTTGGGTGTTGGACATATTTTTATACAGAGTCTGTCGTAATTCATTCATTCTTGCACGCGCATGCGTCGATACGAAGTTTGAAGCGTAGGTTTACACAATGCTTTTATGAATGAAATAGAAATTTTCATATTTTTTGCTTTCATGTTTAGAAAATGTTTATTTGAACTGAAAGTGCATAGTTTTGAAGTTTCAAAGCTTATTGACCACTATGCAAACAGTATATTAATAAAAAGCGATCTTAATGTGACAATCCTGCAAAATGAGGATCTACTTTTATCGAGGTTTCATCCAAAGGTGGATGTTGTTCAGCAAAACACGTTAGGTGTACTTAATCTGAAATACAGCTATAACTCTGTATACATTGCAAGCAATGTATACAAAAACTTAAACATTTATGTAACTTTCATCCTATAAACTATGTTCAAAAGTACCAGCAGCATGACTCTAGAAGACAAAACTTTTAAAATATCAACATACAAACACATTAATGTTCCTCATCTTTTTAACATCTTACATGTTTTAAATCAGGTTTTATTATTTTTCTTCTTCTTCTCCTTTTTTTTTGTGGGGGGGGGGAGGGGAGGGAGTTAAAGTCACACTGACATTGATTATAAAGATCATATGGCATCGTTCCAGCTTTACTGGTGGAGAAAAATCTCAGGTTCCCCTCCACAAACAGACATTTCGTAGAACCAAAGACCTTCTGAAGACTTTTTGGATAGCTTCCTCACATGACAGAATTTGAAGTTGTTGGTGGAATCTGAAACTCAAGCAGTGGCAGACAAGTGATTCACAGTCTGAAACCGTAATAACTCTGCCAGTGAGGACATGCTGATATATTAACAGTTCATACAACAACAAAAATACAACATACCTTGTTTTGACTCTTTTATTATACTTATAAGCATATCAGTCCACTTTTTTGTTGCTGCTAGAGTTTTCAACTTCCCTGCTGAGAGAACTCTGCGTGTAAACACCAAGAAGATTGCCATAGCATTACTATGGTAACCAGGATTGTCAAGATGTTTCTGTATCTGGAACCACAGCATATCTAGGACAGACTGTAGTACACCTGAACTTAATGGTCCACTATGAACACTAGTAGGGAAAAAAAGAAGAAAATATTTGTAAATATATATATAGCAGTAACTACAATGACATGCATCATATACAAGTATGATTACAAATTATTTGTTCAAGTCAAATTCATACCTAGTTACATGTATATGTAGAACTTAAGATATATCCAACTTGCTTATATAGGTTAACCATATGGAGGGATAGTTCAGTTACTATATTCCATGGGTATAAAAAATGAATACATGTGTTTTGTTTTGCATTCTCTATAAAAAAATCTTGGATTCATTATAACACTGACATTCAAATTAAATTAAAATGTCTTTAAAAACCATCAATTTCTTACAACTGTTTTTCAGAGATATTAGTTTTAAAAATAAGTACTATAAACTCTTATTTCTAGACTTGCCTTGTTGTGAGAGATACAATCTGTATCAACCGGAAGCTGGCTACTCTCAGTACAGTGTTGAGCTGTACTTGCCCGAGACGTCCTCTGATTGGTTGAACCAGACCCTGTATGGGTGCAGACAGACTTGCCATCTCGTATAGTGTTGGTAAGAGCCTGCAGGCCACCAGTAGGGAGATATCTACTGCTTTGTAACTTATACTCAGTGAAAATATAGTACACAGTAGTAGCCTCTGTCTAGTACCTGAAGGAAAAAAATCTATAAATAAATCTATTTTATTTATCTTATTTTATTTTCATGTACTTAATTTGCGTAATGTATTTGCCCTGGCTTGAATTTGGAAGAGTTCATTCAAAATCTAAGGGATTTTGATATCAAACTATAAAAGTTTTAGTAACCAATTGTATAAAGCCTGGTAAGTCTTCCCTATACTGGTGGGGGAAAAAACTAATGACTTTTGGTCCCTGCAGGTGAAGGGTTAAAAACAAAGTAAGGTGTACCATTTTCTATGTTTTGTAATTAGCTTTAAGGCATTTTTAAAAGCTTACCTGCCTTTTCCATATCTAAGTGTAAGACCCAGTTTGTAATGGTGTTTTATATAATTACAATATAGGGTTAAGGCACGTTTTTCCGTGTTATAACGTCTGCAGAGTCCTGAGGAACGGTTGGTGCCCGAGCCCGGTAGGGCGAGGGCTCCAACAGTTCCGAGGGACTCTGCAGACTTTATAACACGAAATAAACGTGCGTTGACGCTATTATAGCATAAAATTTTAAAACAGATTCATGATGTATATTATATATAAAACACAAACATTAAATCCTTGTGCTTGAACGGTATTTATCCAACTCTACATGTTTTACGTATGCGTTTTATTTTTTCCAGGCCAACAACTTGAGAACCGAACGAAATTTCGAATTTTAATTGATTTAACAAAGTTTAACTTTGGAGATATAATAACTTAAGAAAAACATAACATTACTCTACCCAAGACATAACAGGCGCCTCAGAAATTCCTAGAATGATTACAGATTGGCGGTAGGAAAAAGATCAGTGACATCAGTTTCAAATTCAGAATCGGGTTTTTTAAGCACGCAAGTTTAAAAAAATCAGGCATAAAACATTATTCTCTCAAAGAAACATACAGAACATTTATCAATATAAACGTCAATAAAACAACGTTTTCTTATATTCATTTTGTGCTTTCCATTTTTGTAAGTTAATCGGGGGATTAAACTGAATGACAGATTCTATTTGTTTACATTGACAACTGTCCATTTCTAAGAAAGGGCGACAACCAAGATAAGCAGCGATGTCTATACGCTGTATTGCCGGCATAATTACTTGAATGCTGCTCGCCGTTATGCGACTGAGGCCCTCGAATTAATAATTCCAATATAACAAGAGCGCATGACTCTGGCAAACAGGCCAAATTGTCATTTTTTGTTTGTTTACTGGGCCCTGTATGTATTGCGCATAGGTAAAACCGGGCTATAACAAGAGCGCGTGACTATGTTAACGCATGGTTTTGGCCCCGTTATAACATGGGCAAAAGAGGGAAAAATAGCCGATTTTATGCTATAATGTGAAATATGCAATTTTAATAATTTCATAAGGTGTTGTTTTATTTAAAATGAAGTTAAGATTCCAAATTCTAGACTGTTTCACCATTCAAAAGTTACTGTAGTTGGGATCATTGTCAAGAAATATTTAATGCTCTGAACCAATGCAGTTAGAAACTAGACACTGCTACATGGGTGTATGTTGAAATGTCAGAAAACCTCAAAACCTTGAAACTAGCATAATTTAATTCTCTCATACAGAAAATGATACTGTCAGGCGTATAAGGCATATTCCTGAAAATTATACCAAATGCAGTGTTGTAGTGAAATACTTCTGCTTGTGACTTTACCTTGATTGTGTTTATTGTTGTATGTAAGTAGAAGACCTTCTACAAGAGATTCATAAATATCATGTGCTGCTAACTGTATCTCTCTCTGAGTTTCTGCCTTAGCTGACATTATATCATCCTAAAACAAGAACACAGTGAACGAAAATAATCAAAACACAAATCTGCAGAATACACTTTACACACATATTACTTATTACGTCTTAAAATGGACTTCTATTGTACACAGATTCCCGCTAGTTTTTTTTGCGATTTTTTGTATTTGAAAATGAAATGTAAGTTGAAACAGGTAGATAAAATGATATCTAATAATTGACATAAGTTACTAGCTACACAAGTTGAATTGACCCCTTTTATGAAATTTGACCTGTAAGAATGACCTTGTACTTTTAGTTATAGTCCTTGACTTTCCAACTTGTGAAGAATCTTGTAGACAGTTTTAATTTCTGCTTCTGCTAAATTATTTAAAATATAACTATGAATGGAACAGAAACACAAAAAATACCTATTTTTTATTATCAATAGTTTAAAAACTCAGCACATGTACCTTGTAATGAGCAATTCTGGGTATTTTCTCCCCTTGTGGTCCAGCGAGTAGGCCTAGATTAAAGCAGCCAGACAAGAGACAAAGATGGGCAGAGCACAGCAACGTAGATAATGTCTTAGGTACAGGAGAGCTTCTATCAGCATCAGTCTTTTCTTTATGAGCCATCAACAACTCTCTGATCTGATTCAAGGCGTACAATCGTGACTGAAAATACATGCAGCAAAACAGTGAATATAAAATGGGTTTTAAGAGGTTATGTCTCTGATCAATGAACAAGCTCAATCAAATTGAGCCTACAACATTTTCAGTTTTGCAGTTATGGGAGTTTTTTTAAGACTGATTTTCCTGTTTTATTTTGTAGAATAATCAAGTGATGTTGTTTTTTTGTTATAGACCTCCATCAATTTTCTCAGACAGTTTTATTTTTTTTATTGTTAAACATATTTAAACATGCTTTAGTTCAGTATAAACTTAAACAAAAATAACAGTTAAATACACAATTAAGATTTATTCATATTTTGAATGAGTTCTAAATTTTAATCTATTATAGTATTTGTATAAACATGTAAATGTAGAAATAAAATATCATTTTTATGAAAACTTCAAATGGCACCTCTGCTCTATCATGCTGCATTTTCATTATGTCTTCTATTACAGAATACGAAACATTTTTCAAAGATGCATTCCTCTTCTTGCCCCTTTGATGATTTAGATTATCTCCCTTTATGAAACTGCAGACATCTCCACTTATGCTGTGTGGGAGTCGTCTCCCTTGTTTTCTTCCTAGAGTTACATCCCCCGAGTGTTCATGATGCCACCTCAATCTTCTGAGAGTTTGTTTTACTTTCTGGAGAGAAGCACCTGTACCTGTTCCTTCTGCAATGTGAAATTATATGTTTCTTGTTCCATTTTATTCTGTCAATAATTTGCTTATATCAAGACAGACTTATAATATTGGATTTTACAGAAAATGTACACAAGTCTTTCTCATTTTGAAATTTTTAACATTTAGAAAAATAAATTTTGTTTTTTGTTGGATTTAAAGACACATTGACACTGTGAAAGTCATATGCACTTCTCAACTTTACTGGTGGCCGAAGCCCTTCATGTGCCCCTTCATGTATTATTTCAGGCACAAACGGCACCAGAGTAGAACTCCAAGCCTTCCATAAGCTAGTTGGATAGCTCCCTCACATAAAAGAATCCAACAAAGTTCCAAATGGGGTACAAAATCACAGTGATAAGGACAAGTGATTTGAAGTCTGTAACCTTAGCCAAAGAAACCCCAAGGAAAAATAAATATTCGGATAAATAAGTAGCCATATCCCATATGCACTGGTAAAAGTTATATATAAATTTTGTAACAAAAATGTGCTAGATAATTTATCCCCAAAATTGTTTTAAATACTTTTTATCACCTTTGTTAGAAAAATCAGGTGTTGCTGCTCCATTCTTGGTGTTTGAGGTCACATCAGTTGACACCAGATAGAGCTGAAGGTCAGGATGGCTACCTTTGTGTGAACCTAGGACATTCTGCTGTACAACTGACTGCTTTGTTTCAGACAAGCTCCCTGTGAATGTAAAAATGTAGCCAATAAATTCTTTGTCATAAAAGACATAAAGACTTCCCTCTGAAATTTTTTCGAATTTAAGAATTTACTGGCTCATTTTCAGTGACTTAAATGTTATAAACAATTATGAAAAGGGTCTTTAAAAAGAACATTTTCATCAGATTGTAAATTAAAGAAACAATTTTTTTTATAAAAATTATTTTCATTGGAGTCTTGATTTCAAACTTGTCAATTACTACCAACAAGAGTCTTACCTTTGGTATTTTTTTCTTTTCCTGATTCTGCATTATCAGAACAAGGATGTGATTTCACTAAAAAAAATATAAATATATTAAAAATAAATAAATAATTTATTAATCAGTTATTTGCAAAGAAATTGGTAAAAACTACTGGTTAGTTAACAATTGCTGAGATATAACCACTGTCTTGTGGTGCAACATTTCTATGTTATGTCTAACGGAAAAGGCAAAGAATCAACTTTTCAGTAGTTATAAAAAGAAAACAGAGTTGGCATATTGTAAATTTGTTACATTCGATATGCCAACTGGTGCAAATAAAGTTTGAATAATAAAATTTAGGTTCTCATTTGTTATCTCTGAAACAGAGCTACAAGACACATATCGCTTTCTCTGTAAACAGGATTATTTTTTATCTTAATATAGAGGTATGCAATTAATGTTGCTAAAACAACATTTAATCAGTTGTTTTTTTTTTCAACAAAAACCGGCAAGACTGCAAGAACTATCAAAAATACAGATCAAATTTTTTCTTCTTATTCTTATTTCAATTATGCTATTCATGTCTTAATCAGGTAACAGGCATACCTTGCCAATACGGCTGTACTGCAAGAATCAGAAATAAACTTCTCCTGAGGCAATCTGCACATTCTTCTTCATACGATCCGTTCTGTGACGTCTTACGAATTTCCCCGTCCTCACCTTCTTCTATATCACAAATCAATGCAAAATATTTATAATTCATCTTATGTAAGACTTCCCTATATATAAACATTTTTGTTTTTCTTCCTTGGTTTATGAACAAACAGACAAACATAATTTCAAATTGCACAAAATTATATGTTTATTCAAAAAGAATAATTCTGAGAGTACTTACATTAGTAAGCTGTCTTGTTTTGTAAAAATAAATAAAAAGATATTAAGGCGTGAGATAGAGTATCCTAAAGGGCTGACATATATATAACATAAAGACTATGTTACTAAATGTTGTTATAAGGTAACTCATACTGAAAGAAGTTGAGGCTGCTTTAGGTTTACATGATAATGCCCAACATTTCTAGATTTTTTAAATTTTCATTAGGATTTGTAATCTTAAATATTGACACTTTTGTGATCATTATATAACATTTATCTGATATCATTATGACATGAAAAAAGAATAAATGCAAAATTTTTACACACATCAATAAACAATGAGTTTTTATGTAAAACATTACCATCACTGTCTAGATTGGTATCGGTGTCCGGGTCTCCCCTGCGTGATTTCTCGCCAGTATCTCGGTCAGCCGTGTGCGTGGGGAAACTTTCCATCTGGCTAACAGTCTGTTGTTGAAATGCTTTCTTGTTCATCAGATGCAACCGTAATTGATAGACCTGCCTCACAGCTGACATAAATGTGTCATCATGACTGAAATTAAAGCAAGAATAGTTATTTTTTCTCTCAACCTTTTGGGAAGAGGTCTAGATCAACCTAATAAGGAATTTTTTCAGTCATGAAATAAGGTAAATTTGGGATATATATTTTTTTTGTTTTGTTGGGTTTTAAGTCACACCAACTCAGTATAGGTCATATGGCACTTTCCAGCTTTATTTGTAAAGGAAGACCTCAGGTGCCATTCTGTGCATTATTTCAAGCACAACCGTGCACCTTAGCAGTACCACAGACATTCCGTAAGCTAGCCAGATAGCTTCCTCACATGAAAGATTCTAAAGTCCTTGTCGGGATTTGAACCCACAGCGGTGAGGGGCAAGTGGTTTGAAGTCAACGGCCGTAACCACTTTTGACAAGACGCCCCTTAATTGGGGATAAAAGGTGTCCATTTAACAGTTAAATTAACAACTTCTATAGTCTTTGATTATAGGCATACAAGGATATTTGTGGTTATCACAGTATCAAACTTTAACTTACTGTGTAATGTTTTTGGTCACTATAGTTTCTAGCATGTTGGCATGTGTAATGATGGCAGCTAAAGCAAATCTTGACACAGTATCTAGTAGAGGCTCATTACTGACATCAAATGTGTCCAAATCTGTAATTGAAAACAATTCTCTATAATTAGACTGGTTCTTTAACGTGCATAAAACTATGTTGTGCTGTCTAAAACCTAGAATATTTCTTTGATAAAAAACTCATTCAAAAGTACTGAATATGCATGTAAATCAAAGAATAATGTTAATACATTTTTGATAAAGGAGATGGCACATGCATAGGTTTTATAATGACCAGAGACTATGAATAAGAAAATGGCTGCCAAGGTCTTTCAAAACAAATTGATAGTAACTTTCACGCTTTTTCGAGTCCAACTCAACCTAGTTCCGACCTACTTAGTTTTTTCTGTGTCCAGGTGAGTGAGAAAAAAAATCAGAAAGAAAATTGGAAAATTCCAACATTTTGGCAATCGGTTCCATCGGGAACTCATCAAGGCTTGTTCTCCATGAAAACCGATCACCCTCTGGATGGGATTTTCCTATACTCTATCTTACCTAATGATAGATTCTATTAATCATAACACTATTATTCTCTACATACCAAGACTCTCTGCTGTTTCTTGCATAAATCTGAGTGTATGAACCACAGTATCAGTCTGCACACTACAACATAACTGTAAGAGAACTGCTTTATCTCCTTCATACTTCTCTTTACATATATTCTCATAAACCAAGCTGGTTTCTGCAGGACATGCCAAAATATGCTCCACTATTTTCTCAATCTCCATCTCAAACTTGTCTAAAATTAAACAATTTATGTTACCATCAATAAAATGTGTAAAGATTTTTACAGTATTAAATAATAACATTTTAGACAACAAATGTACACATTATCTAGAATTGACTAAAATGTATACTTCAGTCATGCATTAAAATCCATTGAATAAATAATTTGATGGGAAACAAATTCTTTATATCTTATTCTTAAATCACAGTTCAATAATTATATACCTAAAAATATATTACCACTTAAAAAACAAGTTATCTCTTACCAAACAAAAGAATACTCAACTATTCTCAATGCTTGATAATAAAACAAAAGCCTGGATACTGTAAAACTGTGTAAGTTCAAAAGGGCCATTATTTCTGTCAATATCCAAGTCTGAGTTATGGGCCTTGGAAAGTGTCCCCCTACTAGGCTCTCAAATAAGTGTGTTGAGTTTCAACCAAAACCAATTGGTAGTTTTTGAGATACCAACTTGCACGCACAAACATGTATGATGCTTAAGCCTGGGTGAGTACAATAGCTATCTCAATTCTTCAAACAGTCTAGCTAAATGAAATGACAATTATGTTTCTACATTATATCTGAAATGCCTTACTCTCGTTTTCTTGTAATCCATTGCTGAATAGTTTATTCTCCATCCAGAAGTGTACTTGTTTTTCCTCTGCTGTGATTGGTGGACCTATAAGCATGTCACCAAGGCAATGTCCAATCAGTAGTGAGCAAACTCTTTCAAGATCAACCAACCAGATTGCAGAAACACTGGAGTTAAAACCTGGAATATAAAATACAAGTATAGACAAGAGGAGACATAATTTAACACTTTATAATTCTTGTGAACACTTTTACGACTAAGAGAAAGATGAAAATGCATCAGAAAAGATCTCACCATGGCTGAGATTTAAATTTGCCACCACCCGCTTGTTAGCAAAAGTAACTAGACCTATCACTGAAGGTGATTAATACCCCCACCAGCAACTTTTTGAAAAATAAGTAGTCTGAAGAAAAATTTCAACACAAACTATCAACTGTGTACAAAGAAATATTTCAATTAATTGTAATCCCAACTGGGGTCTCCAAATAAGCTTGCTTTTCACAAAGTTTGATTACAATATCTCATTCCTAACTCTATTTATTGTCCGGAAACCATTTTTCTATTTTTAGGAATGGTGACCTTGACCTTAACCCCAGGGGGTCCAAATGCAATACCAACCCAGGTCTTCATATAAGCTTGCTATACACCAAGTTTGATAACAATATCTCATTCCTAACTCTAGTTATTGTCCGGAAACCATTTTTCTATTTTTAGTAACGGTGACCTTGACCTTGACCCCAGGGGGTCCAAAAACAATACCAACCCAGGTCTTCATATAAGCTTGCTATACTCCAAGTTTGATTACAATATCTCATTCCTAACTCAAGTTATTGTCCGGAAACCATTTTTCTATTTTTAGTAGCGGTGACCTTGACCTTGACCCAAGGGGGTCCAAATGCAATACCAACCCAGGTCTTCATATAAGCTTGCTATACACCAAGTTTGATAACAATATCTCATTCCTAACTCTAGTTATTGTCCGGAAACCATTTTTCTATTTTTAGTAACGGTGACCTTGACCTTGACCCCAGGGGGTCCAAAAACAATACCAACCCAGGTCTTCATATAAGCTTGCTATACACCAAGTTTGATTACAATATCTCATTCCTAACTCAAGTTATTGTCCGGAAACCATTTTTCTATTTTTAGTAACCATGACCTTGACCTTGACCCCAGGGGGCCTAAATGCAATACCAACCCAGGTCTTCATATAAGCTTGCTATACACAAAGTTTGATAACAATATCTCATTCCTAACTCTAGTTATTGTCCGGAAACCATTTTTCTATTTTTAGTAACGGTGACCTTGACTTTGACCCCAGGGGGTCCAAATGCAATACCAACCGGAGTTTCCACATAAGGTTGCTATATACCAAGTTTGATTACAATAACTCATTCCAAACTCTAGTTATCGTCCGGAAACCATGATGTGGACCGACGGACGGACGGACCGACCGACCGACAAGCTGACTCCTATATACCACCCCTAAACTTCGTTTGTGGGGGTATAACAACACTCTAAACAAAGATCTTGATTCCTGGAAGCAGTTGTCAACAGTTGTACTTATAGTTATGAATTTTCATGTACAAGTGAGCTCCCAAGTAAAAACCACAGACCTTCCCTTACCTTGACAGCTTCCTCGCATAAAAATCTACAGTCCCTGTCTGTATTTCAATCCACTGTCTAGAGGGAGGAGGAATTCTACTTCAGCTAGCTAAACAACCTGGCTATGGGGACCCCCATTAGCTTATACGCAACTAACATGAACATGAAAATCAAGATTACGGAAAGAGAAAGAAAATTTCTTTTACTTACACTGTTCCAGTTCCCTTTTCTCGAATCTCTCGATGTTTGTTAAGAGCTTGCAGATTTGGTCTAGATTTGAGAGTAGTGTTAGAAGAGAGTTTAAAAGGGGGACAACTCTGCACTGGGGAACCAGCATCAGCGAATGCAGCATGTGAAACAACATGGAACCAGCTGGCGACATATATAGAACACCTGTAATATTAAAATCAAATTAATAAAGTTGTCACATTGAAAACTATTATTATACTGTTATTTACATTTGAAGTAGCACACCGAAAATCAATAAAAAAAGATGCTGTAAAGGCAAGTTATTTTAATGATTGAATGTGAAGTTCAAAACAATTTTAAATTGGTGAATTCGCTAAATGAAATCGTAAATTCATTAAGTTGAAATGTTCCCACCAGTCTTACGTAGTAAAAGATGCATTCTGCTGCATTTTGGGGGTGTTTTGGGTGCATTCAGACACTCAAATAATTTTCATAATAAAATGGGTAGAAAGTTTATATGAAACACAGAAGGCAAAGATGGAAATATGTTAAATTTTTATGATTGATTTTAGAAATCTGCACCTGCACTTAAAAGTTGGCTACGGTTTTACACCTTTTGCTGAACAATAAAATAAGTGCATTTGGCTGGAGATGACTCTATTTTTTTTTTTATTAATATGATTTATACTTGGATAAAAGAACACTCATGACAAAACCCTTATCATGCATAATTCAAATATGACCTTGACCTTTTTAACCTTGACAATAACAAGAGCTGTCACAGGAGACAGCCAAGCTCGACTAATAAAATACTGGACGCAGTAAGGGGGACAAAACTATGAGAGAAAAATCAATTATGTATAATTATGTATTAAGTTATAGTAAAAAATAACATTTGTTAAAATAAATTCCAAGATCAAGGGAAATAATTCTAGAAATAGTCACACTAGAGTTATGAACCTTGTCACACAACATGTATGTAATGATAAGAAGTATATATTTGAAGTTTGAAGTAGATACCTTAAAAAGTAACAAAGTTATAATATTTCTTAAAGAAAATCCTAAGTTCAAAGAGAAATAAATCTGTAAAAATTACTTCAAGAGTTATGAACATTGTCACATAAAATATAATTGATTATAAGGAATAAGTATTTGAAGTTTGAGGTAGATACCTTTAAAACTAAAAAAGTTATAGTAAAAAATAACATTTTTCTAGTAAAAAAATCTAAGTTGATGGGGAGATAATTCTTGCAATATTGGTGCTAGAGTTATGAACCTTGTCACATAAGATGTGGATGATGATAAGGTACATTTATTTGAAGTATGAAGTTGATCCCTTTAGAAATAAATAAGTTACAGTAAAAAATAATATTTTTTAAAGAAAATTCTAAGTTCAAGGGGAGATAAATCTGAAAATATTGGTGCTAAAGTTATGAACCTTGTCACATAAGATGGGGATGATGATAACGTACATTTATTTGAAGTATGAGGTTGATCCCTTAAGAAATAAAGAAGTAACAGTAAAAAATAGTATTTTTTAAGGAACATTCTTAGTTCAAGGGGAGATAAATCTGAAAATATTGGTGCTAGAGTTATGAACCTTGTCACATAAGATGGGGATGATGATAACGTACATATATTTGAAGTATGAGGTTGATCCCTTAAGAAATAAAGAAGTAACAGTAATAAATAGTATTTTTTAAGGAAAATTCTAAGTTCAAGGGGAGATAAATCTGAAAATATTGGTGCTAGAGTTATGAACCTTGTCACATAAGATGTGGTTGATGATAAGGAACATATATTTGAAGTTGATACCTTAAGAAATGACAAAGTTATACTGAAAAATATTTTACTGCACCAAAACTTAAATCTGAAATCTGGAAGCGGACGCCGACGCCGGGGCGAGTAGGACAGCTCTCCATATACTTCGTTTAGTCGAGCTAAAAAAGGTAAAATTATTGAAACTTTCTTAAATTGTCATAAATCTTATTTATAAACATACTGTAAAATCATTATTATTCGTGGGGCACAAATTTTCGTGGTTAGGTCAATCCACGAATTTAAGATCCGACAAAATTTTATTCCAGCAAATACTTCTTACCCTGTCTCTGTTCTATATATTACAAACAATCGTCGGCTCTTTTCCGGCTGATTTACGTTAAATGGACGTATATACATACAGATAATTAGGTTAGTGACAGATTAAATCCGTTTGCAAGAAAGAAAACTCAATTTTATGTCCTCAATTTACTGTCACAAATGTCGGTCGCATATACACACTTGATCATTGTAGTCTACTCGATTGTGTTAACTCGATTGTGTTAACAAGAATACTTGACATAATCAAGTAAATATGGGAACCCAGGCAATGCAATAATTAGCGCTTATAAAAATTGTCAGTTTTAATTTGAAAAAAAGTCTTTGATATTAATGTGGTAAGTACGCAAAACTATAAAAAATACGATCGCTAAAACAGATGAATGGTACATTCTTCTGTCATTTTTAAATGATCCTGTTTAAATGAATTTTTAATCTGTATTTGTGCCGGAATGCTATTTAATAAACATCAAAGATGCCACCGACTTTTACTAGATCCACACATACTCTTGTTATTAACTCAGATTAATTTATATGCATGTAAATTTACACAGTCGCTGTGACGTTGCGTGTAGTTACTGTCAAATATGGTATGACCATTTCAGGGTGTAAACTTTCTAAAACTTGTCAGGTGTCGTATAAATTATGCGATGTTTAAAATTTATTGACAAGCGCTGTGTGACACGTAAAGATATGTACATGCTGTAAGTAAAAATGTTCGGCTATCAATTTATGTTTAAGATTACAATGTACTTTGCATTAGGTTACTGATTTTTTCTTACAAGAAAATGAAAATCCACGAATTTAAGAACCCACGATAATACCCGTTTTGATAAAAGCACGAAATTTCATGCCCACGAATATAAGTGAATTCGCAGTATTTGATTCATACCGGGACAAAAGAACACAAGGACATTTTGAATTATTCTGATATGTCTTTGACCTTTATTTGACCTTGACTTTCAAGGTCAAGTTATTTAATTTGCTTAAATTGTCTTAATTTTGTTATTTGTCATAGTCAAATTACGGTCAAGGTCAGGCTTCTTTTCAGTACTTAAACATTCTTAAGTGACAAAGTGAGCAAACAGATTTTGTTTTTGCTTATTTAACCTATTGTCCAATATAATAAGATAATTCACACCTTACAAGTAGGTATACAAACATAAGCAGCTTAACAATAACATGTTGACAATAACTTGAGACGAGACAATAAGTGTGAAACACTGAATACTTTCTTGCAAATGATACATGTACATCGCTTCGAAAAATTGAAAGCAAAATTTTAATGGTGAAAATAATAAATCTCTGAATGGTCTCTCTTTGTCAGCAGAAAAACGCAAAAAAAAAGAAACATGTACAACAAATCGCTAAATTTAGATTCCCTAAATTAAGATTACAGTTAAAAATCTAGAAATTAGCCTTCTGCAAAAATGACCTGATATAGGTATTTTGCAGGTTAAAGCTCAGATCTCACCCCAAGCTACTAATGTTTCAGGTATAAATTTGTTTTTAAGTTTAAATATCAATATATCTTTTGTGTTTGTATTGAATTTAAATAAAGATATTCAACCTAAATGTTTTATATATTTTTTTATTTTTTCTTTCATAAACCTATTATTTGAATGATTTAATTTTCTTTTCAGAATAGGAATGTCAATCATTACTTAGACCCCAATTTTTGTACTCTTGTATTATTACATCCCTTCTGACTATCCCCATTGACCTCCATATAAATTCATAACATTATTGTTAAAATTGTATTTACAATTTTATCCTGAGGATGGAGTAAAACAGAAAACAAAAAGGTTAATTTTTGGAATCATTAGTGGTTTCAATACTGAGATAATACCAATTGCTGTGAGGTGTCTAGCTTGAGATTATCTGTTATCGTAACTTTATTTCAGGATATAAGTCTTTAATCCCCATAGCTGGGCCAATTTTGATCTCAGGAAGCTCAAACCTCTTTTCTGTACATCATCTTGTTACAAGTAATGTTTCTGCCAAAAAGTTTAAATTTCTTTCGGTTCAATATAAATTCACTCCGGAAACAATGAATATATAACTATCTATATTAACCTCCAACGTTTCGACGAGTTAAACCTTTCTTTATAAAGGAAATTGCTATTAATTTTAAAAATAAAAAGCAAACTCCTTGATAAAGAGGGGTTTAAGGGGAAAGCATGACACCTCTACCAAGAAGTGTGGTTGGAAATTACAGGTGTCATTACAACTAGGATCAAATCATATAAAATTTAAAAGAAGCTAGAGAGGATCCATTGAGCATGGATGACCCAACATTCCATTGTTTGTGTATCTACAGACTGACAGAGTGACTGACCAACTAGAGCAAATCTATATCCACCTACTTAAAAAAAAAATCGTGTTGGTATACTGCAAATGAAATTATAACAAAAGTCGCTTCGAGCAGGTTGTACTGTATGAATCATTTGATTATCTTAGACAATATATATCATATTGTTTGATTTTATTAACCTGTCAATTCCATACTGATTATACGATCAATGCACAGAATATATTAATATTCGATAAATGTTCGGTTAATTCCGTGAAATTTAAGCAGTAAGATATGATTAAATCCATCTGGTTTCTATGCATTAGTTACACTGACCGTTATAGCGCAATAGGGTAAACTATGGGTATATAATTTCTAAATGTCCTATGTGTTGCAAGATCGAGACAGCGTATGTCCAGACATTTTTTCTAATTTATAACTATTTTCAACATTTTTTAAGTTTGTTCTCTCTGTTTTAATAGGTTTTGCACTTTTTTGTTAATACTATCTTTTTGTATATAACATTGTTAAAGAATTAATATTCAAAATTCATTCGGATTAAGATCAATAAATGTCATTTCAGTGCCGTAAAATACAATACAAAACGTGACAAGTCAGTGTTTCTTAGTTGTTTCATATCTGTGTAGAAAATTCTGAAAGCGCTTGATCATTTTCATTATAATATACTTAAAAATAAAGAAAAAATAAGTCTAAAAATAAGTGACGTCTAAAAAAATGTCAAAAGAAGGGATCGAACCTCGGACCTCTCATACATAAGGTAATCACTTAACCGACTTTGCTACTGCAGATGTTACGA